TATATATATATATATATATATGTATTTATTAATAATGAAATGTGTTGATTATTAATGTTTATAATACTATTTATATTACATTGAACAGAATTTTGTAAATTCCTTTTTTGCTTTATTTTGTTTTGATTAGGGTTATATATTCTATTCTGACTAACACTGACTTGGCAATTGAAGTGACTGGAGGTGGTCTGCAGTAATGCTGTGTCTCTGTCTGGTCTCTAGCATGTAGGAGATCTGGGGAATATCACAGCTGGTCCTGATGGCAGAGCTTCATTCCGGCTAGAAGACTCTCAGATCAAGGTAACGAAGTCATTAAGATCTCTAAATACAGTCTCGTGTTGCTCTATAAGCTGATAGGAAGAGCAGAGCAGTCAGGTGTGTGTTTATAAAGCCTACGGTAGAGTGTTTGGAAGTACAGTAATTATATAAAGCCTCTGTTATTATGTTAATTACACTGACTAACCTCTCTGTCACTACATTCATGGTCACACCTCTCTTTTGAACTCTTTTATCATTCTGTGTCATTGAAAATAATCATGCACAGATCTGAGCAGGTGTTATTATTATGCAAGCTTGTTTCCGCCACGGAATGAAAAATAAAAACAGATAATTGCAACTTTTTAATCTCACAATTCTGACTTCATTTCTCTGAAATGCGTGATATAAACTCATTAAGTCAGATATAAACTAAAAAAGTCAAAAAAGTCAGAATTGTGGGATAAAAAGTCAAAATGATCTGTTTTATTTCTTTAGCCTGTGGGCTTTCATAGTTTTATTTCTTTAGCCTGTGGTGGAAATGGGCTTTCATATATTATAGTAAAAATACAACTAAAAGTAAACCATAGAAAAACGTGACTTTTCATACTTAAAATAAAATCTAAAAACGTTTGACTTATTTTATTTCAGGTAGATGCAAGGCAACATTTCTCATTTTCATTTAGTTTAACTTGAAGTACTAAAATAACTAAAACTGAGATCAAATGAATAAAAACTAATATTAAACATTAAACAATAATGATAATCATAATCACAAAAAATATGTAAAAATTTTAACTAGAAATAAAAAAAACATAAAACATATATATATAAATAAATAAAATACAGGACAAAATTTAATATTGTGAAATATTATGATGTAAAATAAATATTTTCTGTTTTAATATACATTAAAATATAATTTATTTCTGTGATGCGCAGCTGTATTTTCAGCATCATTACTCCAGTCTTCAGTGTCACATGATCTTCAGAAATCATTCTAATATGCTGATTTATTATCAGTGAAAGTTAAAAAGAAGAGCATTTATTTAAAATAGAAATATTTTCTAACAATATACTCTACAGTTCAAAAGTTTGGGGTCAGTAAATTTTTATTCTTTCTTGTTTTGAAAGAAATGAAAGCTTTTATTCAGCAAGGATGTGTTAAATTATTAAGAAGTGATAGCAAAGATTTATATTGTTAGAAAAGATTTCTATTTTGAATAAATGCTGTTCTTTTTAACTTCTTATTAATCAAAGAATCCTGAAAAAAAAGTATCGCAGCTTCCCAAAAAAATATTTGGCAGCACAACTGTTGATAATTCTGATAATAAATCAGCATATTAGAATGATTTCTGAAGGATCTGTGACACTGATTTTTTTTCTGTATTTTTGATCAAATAAATGCAGCCTTGATGAGCAGAAGAGTCTTCTTTAAAAAACATTACAAGTCTGATCCCAAACTTTTGACTGGTAGTGTATATATATATAAACAAAATCAAAATATGAACTAAAACTATAATAGCACATCAATTATACTGAAACAGCGCTGGATTTGAGTTTCATGCTGTATTGAATTTCTCACCAAAGCCAGTTTTTACTCTCATTTGGATTAGGCACGTGTTAATTTAGTCCCTGGTTGTGAGATGCAGTGTTATGCGGTCACATGTTTCTCCTGGCAGGTGTGGGATGTGATTGGTCGGTCTCTGGTGGTGGATTCTGGGGAGGATGATTTGGGGCGTGGGAAACACCTGCTGTCCAAAATAACAGGAAACTCCGGAGAGAGGTGAAGAACATTCTTATCCAGACAAATACATTATCACAGGCATATAAAAAAGATACACTGCTTCTTGTAGAGTGTTTGTGTGTGTAATACAAACAGACTGAGCTGTTTAAAGAGGTCATATGATGCTGCTAAAAAGAACATTATATTTGGACGGCGTTATGCAAATCTTCCCACATAGTGATGTAGATATGTTGGGGCGTGTTAGAACAAGGCGTTGTAGGTAGGCGTGGCTGACTCTTAACTTTTATAAAGAATATCTCTTTGGATTTGAGACTTTAGTCTTTGCAACTTTACAGATCTTCTTTATGCACCAAGAGCTTGTAACACTCCAAAGAGAAAGGAGAACTTGAAATCACATCATATGACCCCTTTAAAATCATTCAGCCTTCTCTGTATTTATTCCTACAGAAATCCCAGTCCGTCCAGAGGATTTCTGTAGGAATAAATACAGAGAAAGCTGAATGATTTTAAAGGGGTCATATGATGCGATTTCAATTTTCGCATCCTCTCTCCCTGCTGTTTGATGTCCTTCAGTGGACCGTGTGTCTGCTTAACGTCCGCTCTCTCTCTCTCACTGCTTTCTCAGGCTGGCCTGTGCAATCATCGCCCGCTCCGCCGGCTTGTTTCAAAACCCCAAACAGATCTGTGCCTGTGATGGTGTGACTCTGTGGGAGGAGAGAGATCGACCCGTCGCTGGGAAAGGACGTAAAGTCACCGACGCACCGACTGCTAATCTGTAATGGGGTGAGGATGAGACCCTCCCACGCGTCATGGACCGCAGATGGACATAAATGAATGATAAGAGACCAAAAACGTGGCTGTCTGAAGCTGTCGTGAATGTCTTTTCAGGTTGTACTAAATGAGAGTCTGAGCTGAGTTTTGATGTATTCACATGACACAAACTGTGTGAACATGTAAATGGATGGTGTGGATATATAGTGAAATTTAACTCCAGTTATCACAGTGATTCTGTTTTACTTCAGTGTTTGATTTTACATAATGCTGATTTGAGTTAAAAATCAAATTTGGTAACACTTTACAATAAGGTTCCATTATGTATTAACTAACATGAACGTACCATGAACAATACATTTATTACAGGATTTATTCATCTTTGTTAATGTTAGTTAATGAGAATGCAGTCGTTCACTGTTAGTTCGTGTTAATTCACAGTGCATTAACTAATGTTAACAAGCACAACTTTTGATTTTAATAATGCATTATTAAATGTTGAAATTAACATTAAGATTAATAAATGCTGTTCATTCTTAGTTCATGTTAACTAAAGTAGTTAACTAATGTTAACTAATGAAAATTAATGTAAAGTGTTGCCTCAATTTTATTTAAAAAAATAATAATTATACACTGACTGATAAAAAAATTAAATGGTTTTGAGTGTCATTTGTAAACATTTTCAATTGAAATATTATCAATTATTATTAAATAATAAATAAAATATTATCAATTATTCTAAAATCTCTTAAGAAATTTAAAAAAAAATCTAAACTAGCACTTCTGTAATTTCACTTTAACCTGCCATTGATCTGAATTTCATTCTGATAAACAAGCTCATCAGCAGTAACCTAAAGTGTCTTTAATTTACAACATGTCATTTTTTATTATCATTTTTAATGATCATTGTTGTACAAATATTTGAAAATAAATCAAATAAACTTAAATTAGCACTTGTTTATTTATATTCCCACAAAACAAAACAAAAAAAGCAAAACAAAAAACTCAGTGCTTTTGTTTGTTTGTTTTTTGGACATGTACCATGCTTGTATAATGTTATTTTTACATGGTAAATACCAGTGTTGGGGAAAGTTACTTTTAAAAGTAATGCATTACAATATTGCGTTACTCCCTAAAAAAGTAACTAATTTCGTTACTTAGTTACTTTTTATGGAAAGTAATGCGTTATTACTTTTGCGTACTTTCGCGATACTTTTTAAATATAAGCAGGGCTTGATTGTTTTTAATATAAGAAGTTCTATTTATAGCAAATATAAAAGCCCTTTCACACCAAAAAGTGTAATGAATAAA